TTATCAAGCGAAAAAAGCAGCTAATACTTAAATAGGGATCTGCCTCCCCTGCCATGTCCCTCCTCCATCTGTCTTGAGCTTTCTTGAGGCAAGGGGGCAGATATGTGTATGTGGATTCCTTAATCCTAGGATTATAGAATCATTTAGGTTGGAAAAGACTAGATCAAGTCCAACTGTAAACCTAACACTGCCAAGTCCCACTAAACCATGTCCCTATGTGCCACATCTGCACATCTTTTAAATACCTCTGGGAATGATGACACAACCACTTCCCTGGGCAGCCTAGTCCAATGCTTGATAGCCTTTGAGGCAGTTTCTTCTCCTCTTATCACTTGCTACTTGGGAAAAGAGTGTGACGCTCACCTCGCTACAACCTCCTTTCAGGTAGTTGTAGGGAACAGTAAGGTCTCTCCACAGCCTCCTTTTCTCCAGGCTAAACAACCCCATTTCCTTCAACTGCTCCTCATGAGACTTGTGCTCTAGACCCTGTATCAGCTTTGTTACCATTCTTTGGGCACGCTCCAGCACCTCAATGTCTTGAAGCGAGGGACCCAAAACTGAACACAGTATTCGAGATGCAGCCTTACCAGTGCTGAGTATAGAGGGACGATTGCTTCCCTAGTCCTGCTGGCCACACCATTTCTGATACAAGCCAGGATGCTCTTGGCCTTCTTGGCCACCTGGGCACACTGCTGGCTCATATTCAGCCAGCTGTCGACCAGCATGCCCAGATCCTTTTCTGCTGGGCAGCTTTCCAGCCACTCTTCCCCAAGCCTTGGTGATGCAAGTGCAGGACCTGGTTGTTAGCCTTGTTGTGTCTCATACAGTTGGCCTCAGCCCATTGATCCAGCCTGTCCAAATCCCTCTGTAGAGCCTTCCTAACCTCAGGCAGATCAACGCTCCTGTCCAACTTGGAGCTGTCTGCAAATTTACTGAGGATGCCCTCAGTAATGAGTCCAAATCATCAAGTACCACAACAGAAAATTTTACTTTGGCTTTTTCTTTTGTCTATTACTGTCTTCCATGATTTTCTTAATTTTTTTCTCCTTTTCCCTAGGCAATGAGCTGATGCTCAAGTGAGCATTTTGCTTAATTAACTTGTGCAATGATACCTTAATAATATAATCTGGAATGTATATACTCGTTCAATAAACTTTGCTTTGTCCCAAGATAATAGAAGAATTTCCTGTTTTATATGATGTTCTAATGAAATGGTTTTAACAGAGTTTTTAAAGATGAGAACATCTTTATCATGCTATCTTTTAAAGATGATACCAGATTTATGTTAGTACTCATCCACCTGCAGGCTCAGGTTGAGACTAGGGCTTGTTTGCTACAAATGCTAGTCTTTTTCAGTTACTTTGGTTGTCTGCATTCATCAGAATATCTTGGAATTGCATCCTCATGTGGACTGACTTTATCTAGTGGGGATCTTATAAAACCTCATACATTTTCCTTTCCTAAAACTATTGTGTTTTGCTTATAAATAGTGTGCTAGAAATACGTTATCCAAGTTGTTTACTACACACAAACTAAAGTAATTCTCCTGTATCAACTTTACTAAGAAGCTGAGTTTATCTAGCAGCCAGTCACAAAATACAGGCATATAGCCTTTATCTAAACTAAATAATTAACACAAAAAACCCCACAATTTGCTTATACAAATATATTGAACAATTTTTCCATTAATTACAGGTTGTGGTGGTTTTGTGTTTGTGTTTGTTTGTTTTTTTTTTTTTAAAAAGGAAATCATGTATCTAAGGTTTGTTGAACAACCTTTGAATTTCCATGTAGCTTGACACTTTAGCATTGTTCACTTCTGAAAATGCAGTGTGTGTAATTGATCAGCTGCATATGTTAAGTCCTTTTAATAAGTTCTGTATGTATCAAATATGGATCAAACTTTAATTTATAACAAAAAGTACAACTGGGAGTAATGAAGCTTGCAGAGTAATTAGCTTGTTAAACTGGAGGAAATCAATAGTACCTTCTGCCTCAGCTGTCCTCTCAGTATAATAGGAAAATTTTGTCTATGCAACAAGCCCTGCTTTCTTAATGGGTAAGAAATATGTAATGGCTTTATGTGAAAGAATAATGATGTCAAGGACTTCTTTTACCAAGATATGTATGTGTGTGGGTTTAAATGTGTTATAGACAACAGTGAGCATTTTGCATTTTGATAGGAAGAGTTTTAAATGGCCTGTGAAAGCCTGGTGTGGAGGAATTTTAAGTTCAATGACGTTCATTTCCACTTCTCTTTAAGGTGTCCAGTGTAACTTGTAACCCGTGATCTCCTCTACAATTCTCAATTATTAATCAAATGGGTATCACTGGCATGAGGAGTCAGACGTAATTTGTGATTAATATACACATAATACCTACCTTGAAGTCCTAGCTTTTTTCTGTATGAGTACAAATTTAAAACATATTTTAGCTAAAATACAGGATTCCCCTTGATCAATGGCTTTCATCAGCCTAGTCTCTTACTTTACTTTCGAGATAAAGCTCATGAAGTATAGATTTTTATTATGATTTATTATACAGTTACTTCCTGTAAATTTAAAAGCTACCCAAAGCGAATTTTTATGTTTGCTAACTGTCAGACACTTCAAGAGAGATCTCAACAGCTTAAAAATTGAGCTGAATATTATTTTGGAGGGAGGGGGCAGTAAGCATATTTCTCCTGGCAGAAGTGAGACTGGTATGTCTATATACCATTCCTTTCTCTGTGTGAATAGTGAGAAGTGGCTGGTGTGTCATGTAATTTGGTATGATGTTGAACTTTGCTGTTATGAACAGACCTGTTGGCATAGCAGTCCCTACTGATTTTTTTGAAGGTGCTAATTTTAAGAATGGTAGTTATGACAAAACAGTTGCCAGCTAAATTTCTTGCATGCTGTTGATTTGGAATCTGTATTCCTATGGCATGTAATTGCAGATTAGTTAGAGGTTGGATGTATTTGTGTAAATATGTCCACCTTCTTGTTGTATTAATTATAGCTGTTACTGTGTCTGTTGCAAAATGTTAGAGTGATAGTTATGCATCCTTATAAAAAGTGAAGTTTGTACACAGCGACTTCAGAGCAGAGAACTTGTGACACAAAATGCTACCATGTATAGATGTAGCTATAACTGCAGACAAGTATGTACAGTGAAATTATATGCAGATGAGCTTTATTGCCTATCATTAGGGTTAGTGTATTGGATCCACAGTGCTATAGGAAAGATGAGGGGTTTAGCTTGTGACAAATCATTCCTTCAGCATATTTTGTGTGCAGTTAGAGCATCTGAAAAGGAGGACAGGGCTGAGGCAGAGCGGGTATCCAACAAGAGAAATTGAACTTTGGATATCCCTCAGTGCTTGCTGTATGTGTGTTTTCATACAGGTGAAATATATGCGAAAATTTTTTTTGCTTCTCTACAGATGCTGTGCAAGTGCTATGGAATGAGTTGACAAGAAATAGGTTTCTTCTGTCTGTCTTTAGAGTCATGATTTTGATGTCATGTGGTAGAGAAAACCTTGGTGTTTGAGTCTATGACTGAAAAAATGACAAGCCCTGAAAATGTCATGATTAACATATATAGGTATATACTTAGAGATGTAGCTTTATTCCTAACTTTCTGACAGTCTCCATTCATTTTCCAAAGACTCAAGATCCAGCAGTGTGCTGTAAAATTCTTGCTGTGTGCTCATGCTTTCTTGTTATCAGTAGTCAACTACCATTTTCTATTTTTGCAGAGTAGTAACTGGTCATTTGCAATGCACCAAGCTGCTGCTATGCTACCATTGATTAGCGATTTTTGCAATAAGGATCATTAGGTACTGGAAAGCTGCTATAAGATCACTCCGGAGCCTTCTCTTCCCCAGGCTGAACAGCCCCAACTCTCTCAGCCTGTCTTCATAGCAGAGGTGCTCCAGCCCTCGGATCATCTTCGTGGCCTCCTCTGGACTCGCTCCAGTAGCTCCATGTCCTTCTTATGTTGGGGACTCCAGAGCTGAACACGGTATTCCAGGTGGGGTCTCACGAGAGCTGAGTAGAGGGGCAGATGTTGTGCTGTGCTCTCTTTAATTACATAGCACTGTACACTTAAGTTGCTACTTAGATCACACAGTGGCATGTATCAAATAGATTAGGAAAAAAAATCTTCTGTATCTTTTATTCCTAGACAGACAGTGCCTTCATGGAAGTTGTTTCAGATTTGTGTATCTTGTTCTCCTGACATTTCTCATAAGCACCTCTTTCTTAAAAAGTCTGTAAGTGTGAGATTGAAATGTAGCTTAGTATTTGTGTCAGCTCCCTTAGATTTAAATAAGGATGAATGTATGTATAGCTCTTGCTCTCGTAGACTTGATAGGCCTTGCATTAAAGTCTTTTCCTTGTCTGCATTCTTTTATGTGGTCTTTGAAGGTATGTTTCAAAATTATGCACATACAACAGTTCTGTTGATGATATTTGTGTCTTATTTTCAGAAAGAATAATTTAATAAGTGTAGTTTTTTTCTTAACTTAAAATCCTGTTGCTACTTAAACATAGTTTATTTCCAGGTACTTTGTATGTAAAGTGAATAACATGTCTCTAGGTGTTCGGGACAAGCTAGACAGCCTTCAGAATTTAACTGAAACAAGTTGTTTTTATCAGGAAATTGTGTTTTTCAAATATGAGAAATACTGTTGACTTACTCTTAAACTTGTGTGATATTTTTGTATCCCTGAGGCATGGTTGGAAGATCAACAATTTCACATTGGAAGGGACTGTAGCTGTTAAAGCATATTGTGTTTCACTGTTTGGGTGAGGGTTTATTTACAAGTATTATATTTATAGTTCTTCTCAAGATAATTTACTTTCTTTCAGAATGCAGGGACATTCTGCTTCCTGTGATTACAAAAGAGCTGAAGGAGTTACTGGAACAGAAGGATGATCAGCAGCTCCAGGTCCAAGAGAAGAAGTACTGTGTTGAATTACTCAATAGCATCCTGGAGGTTCTGAGCTGTCAAGACCCTGTAAGTATTGATGATGATGTAGATGGCCCAAGCCTGTAGTAAGCCTGAGCTGATTAGGTAGTAAATTATTGATGCTGATGAATCTCATTTAAATTTTTAATACAAGTCGGTGCCAAATTGAACTTTTCTCCTATTTTTCATAGAATCATAGAATGGTATGGGTTGGAAGGGATTTTAAAGATCATCTAGTTCCAACTCCCTTGCCATGCCCAGGCACTTTTTAATAAAGTTAAGTTAAAGGGCAGTTGAGGTATTAAAGGTGAAGTACTGAAATCTACACTATCTTTTTTTTATTTCTCAATTTTATAATCTTCAAATAGTCAGCTGCTGTAAATCACCACAGCATTGTTAAAAGCGGTGAGACTGTTGTGTATTTTTCTAGCAGAGGTTTAGGCACTTTTAGTTGTGACTGTTAAAGTTCAGTGAAATACATACTGAAATGAATGAGAATGTTATGACACCCAGCTGTGTTGATGGTATCGATGACACCAGACTGAGTGGTGTGGTTGACACTCCTGAGGGATGGGATGCCATTCAGAGGGACCGGGACAAGCTCGGTAGGTGGTGCCATGTGAACATCATGAGGCTCAACAAGGCCAAGTGCAAGGTCCTGCACCTCTAATGAAATCATTACAGCATGTTGCTTGGTTTCATAAAAATCTTTGAGTTTGAAACTGAAAAGACTTCTCTGTTTGCACAGGGCAATCTCTTCATGTGTATTATGAGCTTTTTTCCTCATCGTTTTAGACATAAGCACTTGGGAGGGATTGATAGAAGATGATGATTATCGGGCTATTGGAACATTTGAATTTCAAATGGAACTCATAAGAGAAATGGTGAAAGCATGATAAGGCAAAGAGTGAAGTTACAAGTTTATAGGGCTGTAATGTGTAGTAAACTGGTTTCATTACTGTGTACTTTAAAAGGTGAAACAGTCGTAAAGCAAGATGGATTAATACTTTCTGCACACGTACCACATAAATTAAGTTTATTTTCAAACTTAGCAGTTGCTGTCCATAGTGACAGTAGCTGACCTGTCAAAGACTTGTTAGCATCTACTGAAAACAGGGGTTTGTAGCTCACGTTTTCGTGAGTGAGAACATTGCTGTATGCAGAACAGCTTGGTATGCAAATATGTAGCCCCGTGCAGTCTGAAGAATATTTTGTAGATTTTAACTTGTCCAGTTTCCAAGAGTAGGAACTGATATATACAGAATGACGTAGTAACACGATTGGCTGTTTTCCAGAGAAGAAACATTTGAAAGTGAAGGCTTTTTTAAAAGGCATCCCATTTTATATATTTCTTAAATTACTATTTCTAAAGAAGAACACCCCTTTCAGCCTGTGTCTTATTAATATTTTAAGTTTGACTTTTGGCACAAAACCAGTAACTAAGCAGAATTCTTGCTAATAAATATTTTTGTTCATTTTTGGAAATGCAGGTAAGTTTCCATCTTAAGGGGAAAAAACCATTTTGAAGTGTAGATAGATTTTTTTTTTCTTAATTTTTTTATTTTTTTTTATTCCTCAGGATTAGTAAAGACATAAAACTTGAGGAACGAAGGGTGACCTCTATCTGAATTAATACATCGCCTATAGAAATGTCTATAGAAATAAGGTCAATATCTATAAGAAATAAGAAAATGAAGTGCAAAATTACTTGAAGAAAAGCAAATGTTTGTTTCAGTAAATTCTGTGTTTGAGAGATTTGTAACTGCTGGTTTTGGACAGTTCTGCGAATGCGTTGCATATGCCTCAAGGGCTTAAAAAATAATTAAACAAATACTTTAGATTTTGCCTGGGGACATTTTAGTTGAAAACTACTTAGTGTGATGCTACTGAGCTTTTGAAAAGCTCTTAGTTTTTTTTCCTTCAGATGTTCTCCCCTTGATTTTAGGCAAATGCTTAGCTATATTTAAAATCGAATGCACTTCACCATTGAGCAGAATGTTATCTTTAATGGGGGGGGGGGGGGGGGGGGGGGTTG